GATAATAGATGTTATGAGGTTTATACGACGAGTTTAGGATTGACTGGCGCTCCCTGCCTGTCGAGAACGACGAACTTGAGCCTTGACAATGGAACTCAATCCATTCCTGGTCACCATCTTTAGATCCGTTTCTCCCTCCTGGATACGACGACGGAGTTCCGCCCACGCTTCCTTCTGTTGATTCTGCTGCATCAAGGTTCTGTCTTTGGAGATTGCTATGCTCTGCAATTCTGGAGGTACCTACTTGGACCTCTTTAGTTTGATCAGATTCTGGATGATTATATCAGTCATCGCAGCGTTAGTAAAAGTCAGTTTTATTGGTCGAGGTTTAGCAAGTGCAGGTGAATATTTACCGATTCTAAAGTGCGTCGATAGCGAAGAATCAACCTCAAGATCCGAGCATATTTTTACCACAAGAGAACGGTCGTGTGCTTCTCTGATTTCCTTATTCACATCCTTTGACTCAGATACTCCAAATATCAAAATATTGCTACGCCTCGTAAGCCTTGCTTCAACCTCCTCCAAAACAGCAGCATTGTTGCTACAACCTGCTATTCCCATCTGATTCATAAGCGATGACACACACTCTGCGTTGTTTGCAACTTTGGTCTCAAGTATTGCTAGGTTAGTTTCTTGTGCTTTGTTGATAATCTCCACAGCCGATATTCTGTCATTAAGCAATTCATTGTTTTTGTTAACTGTTACAGTAAGAGACTCCACACTTGTTACCACTGTTTTTAATTGGTCACTAAAATCTTTTTTGATTTCGGTAGATAGAGCCACATTTTCCTCTTTGATTAACGAGCGAAAATCAGACAGGGAGAAAGAATTCTTTCTGCCGCAACACTTTTGGTAGCCACCATTGGGTAACAATTTGGTCTGTTTTACACATCCGGGATGATATGCTGAATCACATACCGGACACTTCACATAGTCAGTGGCAATAACATTAGTACAGTACCTGCATTCACGCGACATCGCTTGTGAGATTTATATGTCAGAATGATCACTGATTTTTTGTCACCAGAGCAAACACACCATGTAATTATAAAGCCACTGATTTTCACCAAATATATCAATAATATTGGAGAACACAAAAACGTGACTATTACTCAGTCGCCATCTTGATATCCTAACAGCACCCTCATATGGAGCGTCTATGCCGCAGTTTCTATCATAGTCCCTATTCCTGACAGTACCGTCATATGGAGCGTCTATACCGCAGTTTCTAACTAAATCGCGCTGTCCACCGGACCCTCACGCTCTATAATTCTAGATTTGACCTTGGGTGGTCGCCCGGACCCCTGCTCAAGGTTCAAACCGTCCTTAGCCCTTTCGCTGTCGCCCGGACCCTCACTACGGGACTAAGGAACCTGAAGTCGACTAGGACAGAGGAGAATACCATGAAACCAGTCGACAACCTGGTAATACTAACCTCCTCGCCAGCCCGTGAACGAGGAGTATATAATGTAAATTATTTCCACACACACACACTATTTAATAAAACAATTTATCCAATTATCACACTTTTCCTAATTACAATATTAAAAAAATTAGAAAAACGGTTCACCCTAAAGGCCATCCCTGCAACTTCCCGCTCATTTTGTACTTAAACGCTTCAAACTACACATTACGTTTTTGAGCTCTTCGAGCTCAAAAATATTATTTTTGTGTCAATTTGAGCTTTTCGAGCTCAAAACTCTAATAGCAGTTTAAAGACACAATTTTTTGAATTTTCAAACGGCAATAACTTTTGAATGAATGAACCGATTTTTACGCAGTTGGCGGCAATCGACGCAGTTTTTGAAGCTCCATGAAAAATTTTCAAGTTTAAATCGATCGACCCATGAATTTCGAAGTTATTACAAAAAAACACTTTTTTCGATTTTTTTCGACAACAATATCTCACGAACGCATCAACCGATTCTGACGTTTTTGGTGGCGATCGATGGGGGTTGTCATGGTTAAGAGCTGATTAGTTTTTGAGACCGATCGGTTCAGCCAATTCGGAGATATTTAAAAAAAATAAAAAAAAACAACTTTTTTTTCACTTTTTTTGCATTTTCTCGAAATCTACTGGTCCGAATTGGTTCCACCTCTTAGGAAATCTAAGTTTGGCGAAGCCCTTTCGAATGACACTAACCGCGATGAAATCGGTCAAGGCGTTCAAAAATTACAAGAGGTTTACATACACACACACACACACACACACACACACACACACACACACACAGACATACATACATAAATACAGACGTACGGACATCGTAAAAATAGTCAGGGAAGCTTCCTGTGACCTTCAAACGTCGAGATCTGATGAAAACTCGATTTTTGTAAAACGGGGTGAACACAATAACTTCCCGATTTTTGAAAATCTGAGATTTTTAGCGGGAAGTTAATACTTCACTTAATTTTAATCAACAATATTCCACAATACTCGCGTTTCACAATATTCCTTCCTGGGAATTAAGCTCAAATTATCCCGGTTCCTGACTTTAACTTCGATAAATATTTAAATTTAAATTCTGGTTTCATATTATTATTATTAATTTATCACAGCAAATTTTCTTGAAACCAAAAGTTTTAGATTTATTTTAATCTGCCTGATTACTCGGCTTAGCATCCATTTTGAATTCCAAAGAGGATTTGAGAAAATGAATATTATCTTAGCTACATTTTACAAGGTCAAGATTTTAATGTAATTTTCCTCAACAATTATTTACTGGAATTTGGACCAATTTATTTATCGAATTCTTGAACAATTTAATTTAATAATAAATTTTGTTTTAATAATTTTATAATTTTAATTTACTAATTTATAATTTATTTTAAATTTCAAAGATTGATAAATTTCAATTTTAGCGTTCAGAATTATTTTACAGATTTAATTTTATTTATAAATTTCAATTTTCTCTTTTCGAATAATTTTAGTACTGAGATTAATTTTATTTATTAATTTAATTTTAGCTTAATTAATTTTTGGTGTTGATTTTAATTTAGTTATAATTTATTTTAAAATTTATTTAACGGATTTTACTTTTGCACTTAACCACTAATTTGATTTTACATCAATTCTAATTTTATAAATTTAATTTTAATTTTAACTTAAATTATTTCTTAATTTAATTTAATAATTTTAACCTCGTTCAATTTTGATTTTAACTTATTTTAAATTTCGGAATTTTTTCAATATTAAATTTGTAACGGGGTGTTTTTATTTTCGCCGTTCAATAGCGGCCTAAATTATTAGTTAGATGTTAACTCCAAATACCATGAGACTATTATATAAGATGTTAAATTTAAGGCGCCACCAGGTTGTTACAACGGTGTCCTGGAAACCGTAAGAGACATGGGAGATAATCTACAGGGTAGAGAGATTTAGGAAATTATCTGGAAATGAATAAAAGCAATAATTCGTGGTTACCAATAATTTATTTAACAATATCACACTCACACGCACTCTATAAATTCTATTGCAAAAATTTCCATATAATAACTCCTTAACTAATACCCGCGAAACAGAGGGGAAACCGTACCTTAATTCACGGGTACGAGGACCACATGACCTCCATTTTCCTTTACCAATATCCTGTATTACCAATTACCCGATTTTATTGTAAACTCCTGATATAGAGGGAAAACCATACCATATATCAGAAAGCTATTCATACACGATTCCACTCCCTATCACTCATAACCCAACCGTATTAATTAATAAAACCTTAATTTATCTAACCGAGTTAACAAAATTGTCCGGTGACTATTTTCAACACAATAGAATATATATGACGCCAGTAAACGTGACCTTGTGATTTTAGATGCGCAGTTAAAATGTACTGCGTAGTAATAAACTATTTTACCACTTTCTTATAAAATTTTACAATAACGATCCATAAATTAAATTTAATTAACCGAATATTATTAATAAATAAATAATTTTACTCAACCGGAATTTCTCAATAATTAATTAAATTAATTTATAACGCTGACTATAAAATGGCGCGTAATTATCTTAACACCAACTACGTCTCAAGGTTAACTAATATTTCCCGGGTGTCGGACCACAGGATTTTCTAGCAATTTTAATTTAACCAATAATTAATTTAATTTATAAAACCCAAATAAAACAAATAACCCTTGTCCAGAAGAGTAAATAAGACCGGGTGCTAACCACAGTCGAATTTTGCCCACGAGACTTGACAAAGTACCTTGCAATCCGACGAACTGCTTCCCGCCAAACTCACAGCTACGGCTTGGGTTTGCTGCCACCTCGTCGTTGCTCGTACTCTCGGGGATATTGTACTCCTTACAACCGCAACAATTATTCCTAGACGTACCAAATAGGATTAGTATAATGTAATTTATCAATTGGAAACAATTAATAAATACTACACATCGTTTGCGTTCCAATTAAGTGAACGTGTGACTGGATAATTACCTGAGTTTTCCAAAGTGCGTCCGGAACGTTCGGTAGTACAACCTCTTCTGGCTTGTCCGCCGGCCGCTGCTTCACTCGTGCTCAGCTCCCGGCTCATCGTCACTCTCCCCACTACCTAAAATGCCCGAAAATCGAGACGCGCCAGTGCTGCGTCGTACCATTATCGATATCTGGTGAATTATCGATGCAGGGTATATTTTTACCCTGTTACAAATTTTAATTAAATTATCCCTAACCTCGATTTTATAAATTTAGATATTAAGTAAATTCAGTCATTATTAATAATAAATTTAGTGATTGGAAGAAGGAACCTGGCCAGTGCCTAGTATTTCCTTGAGCAGCGCGGTTTATTTCACAGAGGTTAATTTTCGATACCTGGGATTGTTATAAAATTCCTGGAGACTTCAGATGTTTTCCCAATTCGTAATCAGGTCCCGGTGCAATGGCTACAACAATCTCCAGTGTGGCTGCTTCGTTTTAATTCTACGCTGCTTTCGGTTATTTTTCGGCGTTGTTAGTTATCTGTAAACACAGTACTGTTATAGTAATTGTCACACGAATTTTATTCCTGTGTGCGTCCCTCCCTGCGCCTAGTGTTGGCAACAGATCCACACTCGGTGTCCCCTAATTTTAATATTTTTGTATAAATTTATATACTGCATATTCTTTATTATTATTATATTTGAAAAATTATATATTATGATTATTAGTTATTAAGTATTAATTTTGACATTTATTTTAGAAAATTGTATTGGAATATTTATAATTTGATTTACTTATTGCGTATTGATTATCGGTAAATGGTCGTAGCCCTTGCTCGCATGGGTAATTCCCTAAAGTATCGATTGCGAGCATAGGGATTGCTAATTTTGGTAAACGACTTGAGAGGCCCTCGTGATCGGACACGAGGTCTCGGGGTTTTTGATAAAATAAAAATCGAGAGACACGCGGCAACCCGCAAAGTGTAAGAGTGTGGATCTGGCACCTTTGTCCGAGTCCCTTTTTTTGGTAAGTACTTACAAGTTGAGCCATATTACTATCCACGCACCGTGTTGTCTCCTGGCGAATAGATTATTGTAAAAGAAAAAGCGTTATTAGAGTCAGCCAGTATTATTTATTTAAATTTTTATTATTTTTGTCGAGATAACCCGACTGGGAATTTCGGGTTGATCTCATTTCAATAATATATAGATATAATTTCTATTTTATAACCAGCGGCGTCGTAAACTAATAATATACTCAGGATTTATATTAATAATTAATAATTGTACGCGGAAAAATTATTATTATTGTTATTTTATATGGTTCACCCGGCGAAGGAATCCGGCTCTGGACTTAGCTTTAAGTATTTTGTGTTTTGAATAAATAGCTTATTATTTTATTAATATCGCGACTAATTGAATAATAATTTAATATACGTAGTTTATTTCCTCCCTTCTTTCCTAATATTAGCATATTATTTGTCTTCCCCTGAATACCTGCAGATTGGCCCTGAAAATAAAGGGTTTGTTGTTTCCCTAAGTCAAAGAACAACTGGCGTCCATAAACCGTGCACTAACCCAGCCTGAGGAGGAGCTGTTGGTTGCTTGGGAGGCGAAGAGTTCCCTCCCAAGTCATTTTTAACTTCCCGCTAAAAATCTCAGATTTTCAAAAATCGGGAAGTTACTGTTTTCACCCCGTTTTACAAAAATCGAGTTTTCATCAGATCTCGACGTTTGAAGGTCACAGGAAGCTTCCCTGACTATTTTTACGATGATGTCCGCACGTCTGTATGTATGTATGTGTGTGTGTGTGTGTTTTTCCTTTAGGGGGGGGGGAATCCTTTTTACGGATTCTAGGCATAGATGTTGGCCCGGATTTGTGGCGACTCGACGCAGCGTCGTACTAAAACTTGACGCTGACGCCCCTACCCACTAAACCCTAAACCCCTTTCTCTTCTATCCTCTGATCCCCCATGGTACCGCCGTAAGGCATTTCTTCGCGGGGGGAGGAATCAGCTGCCGCTCTTCCTTCTGGTGGCTAAGATGTTATCTTCCCTCTAGTTTCTGTCTTTTGCTCCTTTTCTCTCAATGGACGCAGCTCTGTAAGCACTTCT